ATGCCGGTGAGAACATCTTTGATCTAAGAACAACACATTATGTTTTGAATAATTTAAACTGTGGCAGGCATCTGTCAGGCCATTTAGGTTTTTGTAAATTGGAATTATCATTTTAAATCCACCAGAAAACACAGCTTAGCAAGGAAATAAAACAAGCTTAGGGAGGGAGTAAAATAAGCTGTTTTGAATAGAGCATTGAGTAACTCTGAGGCTAATCTAATATTTCACTAATGACAGTTTGTTTCTTTCCCACAGAGGGATATACATTGTTTATAAAGATGGAGATGTTGATAATCCAATGGTCAAAGAGAGGGTCTGGCAAAATAGTGATTTCAACTTTGATAACGTTCTGTCTGCTATGATGGCCCTTTTTACAGTATCCACTTTTGAAGGCTGGCCAGCGTGAGTGAATTCTCCATGTTTTCACAGCATTGTTAAGATGGTTACATTTTCCAGAATAGTTCTTTATCATTTACCAGCATTTTTGGGCAAAAAAGCAGTCTTAAGTGATGTTTTTTTAAAAAAAACTTATTAATGGAAGAAGGAAAAAAACTACTCTCTCTGCACTTTTCCTGTATTTCTTCATTCACCTTTATCTATAAAGGGGAAACTTTTTCTATATTGTTTAATTCCTAATCTTTCAGCTACTTTTGCTATAATGAGCTATTCTTTAGTTCTAATGGAAGTAATCCTCTCAGATGTTTATCCATCGATGCCATATGAAAATTTTAGGCCTTTGAGTAAAACTTCTACTACAAAATCAGGCCATAGTACACTGCATAGAGAGGCCCAGGAAGAGCAGACTACCACTCACTATTTCTCTAAATGAGAAAAGTCTAGAGGTCAGCTTTACATTGGGAAGAAAAAAAAAAAATGCAACCATCTGGTCATTACCTTGATTCTTTTGGAAGAAAGCATATAACATTGTGTGGTGTGATGCTTCTGGTTTCGATATGCTTGTAAGTGCTATCAGTAACTAGAAAAAGATAACAGTAAACAGCAGACCATTTCTGAAATCTGTCCTCTGAGTCTGCATATTTTACTCTCTTTTGTCATTTTAATGCTAATAAAGATAAAATTTTGTTTGTTTTTCAGGCTGCTATACAAAGCCATCGATTCAAATGGCGAGAATGTAGGACCTGTATACAACTATAGAGTGGAGATCTCAATTTTTTTCATCATCTATATCATCATTATTGCTTTCTTTATGATGAACATATTTGTTGGTTTTGTGATTGTTACATTCCAAGAACAGGGAGAACAAGAGTATAAGAACTGTGAGCTGGACAAAAATCAGGTTAAAATAAATAATGAACTCTTAACTTTTGGAAGAATTATTTTTTATTTATGCATGAAGAGCTTCCTTTCTGCTTTGGGTCAGAAGAGGGCACCAAACACGTATCTTAGTAAAAAAAAATGGAATTAGTACATACTATCAACTGCTATTCAGGTCATTGTATGTTCCTCTTTCCGTAAGCTCAACATACCAGTCTTTTTGTTATGAAAGGTGTTACATTAAGCTTGTTACCTTCTTACTGTCTCACTTGTTGGTGTCACATTAAGAAGAATACAGCACTTGCCAGCTTATCCATAGGCAGAGGTAGGTTTTTCAGTAAGAACAGGAAAATAAATTTTGTGTTCTGAATAGGCTGAAGGTGTTCAAAATGTTCTAATCTTCCCCCACCCCCATTTATTTAGAAATTCATAGGGAATATTCAGATTCAAATAAAAAAAGTCTGTCCCCTTTTACTGTTTAAACCTTTGACTGAGAAACTCATCAGTCACCAGTCATGATTTTTCAGGTACTCTTGTCCAACTGTAACACACTTCATTTAAACAAAGTTAAGCGTGGAACTTTAGCCAGCATTCATTCTGCATTTTGTGCCCCATCAGTCAGCTTTTATAAGCATCCTTCAAAAGACAAGTGGAAAGCCCAGCCTACATGAAGATTTCAGGCACTAATAGAGTAGGAGATGAATCCATGATGTTCCTATGTATGTAACATGATTTTGCTGGGCAATTTAACTGAATTATTAGGAGTAACACTTCCTCAGTATTTATTTTGCTGACTCTAGGGTTTTATGCTATGCAGTTACATTGGTGGTTGAAAACTTAGTAAAGACAAAGCATGACTTACAGATGAATTAATAGTCATGCTATTAATAGTCATGCTATATACTGTACATATACATATAGTCTAAGGTATACTGCTGTATGCTACTATGCTGCATAAAGATGAAACACTGCAGAATTTCCATGAGCTTTATTTGATTCTTTGTATGTGGCTGAGTAGTGTATATGATTAGATACAGTTGTAAATAACCAAGTGAGGATTGGTAAGCTACTTGATTACTTTATTAACACTTAATAATAAAAACCCCTACATCAAATAGATAGACTACCTGTTTTTAAGACTTATCTTTAACAATTTGCACTTATTAATTATATTATCAGTTGATTAACTGTTAGGTATAGTCTGACAGTTTTTGATGTATTTGCTTTTACAGCGTCAGTGTGTAGAATATGCCTTGAAGGCACGTCCTCTTCGTAGATATATTCCAAAAAATCCTTACCAGTACAAGTTCTGGTATGTGGTGAATTCTACTGGATTTGAATACATCATGTTTGTCCTCATCATGCTGAACACACTTTGCTTGGCTATGCAGGTAGGAAAACCAGAAGCTCTTTTGAAGTTGTTGGCATGGATTGCAGGAAAGGACATGGGTGATATAATGCCTTTAATTTATGGCAACCTGTATTTTTTATGAAGTGAAATTTAAAAAAAAGCACCTCTGATCATAGTACTCTTCTGTGACATGTTCTAGTCTGTTCATCAGTTCTCTGTAGTAAAATTGTTTAAAACAGCTTGATGTTGATAAAGGTCTTCCTAACCTAATCAAGCTCTTTGAGCTTTATTTTGTACCTGCAATGTAATTTAATTTATATTATATGTGTGTATTCCCGAGATTATCCATGTGCAAGAAAATCTGAAGAGAAAAGTCTAATTTTGTTAGCGAACGTTTCTCTCAACACCTTAGATTCTTTTATCTAGTATATTCTTTTATGCAGTGCCTTTAAGCATTACTTCACCTCTGTGTAGTTTCTGTACTTGTTCTGTGTTCATTTTGTATATGTACTACTCCATATTTGGTTGGGTTGGACCTTTAAAGGTCCCTTCAAACCCAAACCATTCTATGATATTTCTATCATCTGTGTCTGTATCTTTTTCAGAAGTTTAAAAACTTAATATATGGAGCAACTCTAGTTTTGTGTGTTAATCCAAACCTCACACAAACATGTTTTCATGTATTAGCTGTGTATCTATACATACCTGTGTGTATTTTTCTGCATTTTGCATGCACTTCTTTGACACCTACTTCTCTTACCTGCTTTTCCGAGCTGTCTCTTTCTTTTCCCCAGTACTTCAGATTTTGATAAGAAAAAGAATGGTTCAAATTCAGTTTACAAAACCATTCTACTTTTTCAGTAAACTTGCATGCACTGTATCCTCTTAAAAATATCACTCCTACACAATATATGTTATTCTGTGACTAACATACTGAAGACTTTCTAAGCAGGTGTGACACAAGGTTATGTAATTTTAAAACCTAGCATATAAAACTTGGGAAATTGCTGTTGTTTAATACTTCTTTTTTGAGGGAACAGTTTTCTTTTCAAAACCATCTCTCTGGAGATTCTCTTAGGATGTAGAGGAATGACAGTTTTGTTCCACTTAGTGCCTAAACAGAATAGATTTAACAACTCCATTCTTGACCAGAGATATTCAACTAGTCTTGTATGTATATAGGTGTGCATTATAAATACTACTAGAAAATACTTTCCTGTGCTGCATTTTTGCCAACTTTGTCTTAGGCTGCCTTACTTTCACTTAATATTTTAAAGCCTTTACTTTTAAAAGTATTGTATTTTTCATTCACAGCACTATGGACAGTCTAAGCTCTTTAATGATGCAATGGACATTATGAATATGGTTTTCACAGGAGTGTTCACTGTTGAAATGGTTTTGAAACTGATTGCGTTCAAACCCAAGGTAAGTTTTAGATATGATTTAATTAGGTCATCACCACAGGAATTAAGTATAACGTAAGTTTCACACTAGCTATTATTCAAACAAAAAGAATCTATGTTTCCCACCTTTATATAAGTTAGTGAAATCATAATAGAAATGTTAATCTGATAATATGTGTATACGTAACTCCAGGAAATGAAATGCAAATATCGGAAAAAATACTTCAAGGTGGTTGATGAGATCTGGAATATTTTGAAGTAATGAAAATGTCCCTTTGTAAATCAGATAAATCATTTCCTGTTACAAGCATTACCACTTCTTCTATTCATGGTACTACATTCATAACTTTATACTAAGTTAATCTACATGTATGTTATGTTATATTTCCTATTCTAAAATGCAAAATTATTTCTTTACTTTATAAAATATAGCCAAGTACTACAAACATACACATAAATAATTTGCATATTCAATAGCCTTTTTAGATTTTTATGTTTTCAGTTATACATACACAGTATTTGGTAGAGGGCCCCACAGTGAGTAGTTGATTCCGTGCCTTAAAGGGACACTGTCAAAATGAATAATGCAGACACATTTTCAAAAGTAGATTTGCAAGAGAAACTGATAACTATAATTACTAATTGTAGAAAAAGATGAAAATCAGACTGTGACAGTTAATGCAGTCTTTTTGTTCGGTTCTCATACTGCATTTATGATAGTGCAAAAGTTAATAATGAAAAACTAAACTAAATTTTGTTTTCAGCACAATGAAATCAATGTTTATTCTGGGCTTATATCTATGTAAATAAGTAAAGTGTGGTCACGCGCTCTACATGGAGTTTGAAAAAAGCCAGTCACGCCGTTTGAAGTTTACTGATCTCACCATCTAAGGCTGATATTTTTCATTTTCCATTGGCCTTCTTTTAAAGTAATCAGGATATCTGCATCTGTAATTGGCTGTGAACTGTGCCCTTTCTTGGTTTTAAGTAGCGAACTGGATGACTGTAGGCTGTGTGGGCAATCTTCCTTTAAACAAGCTAGCTCTGATAATTACAGTAACATAGCCATGGCTGCCCAGAGCTCAGCATGGAGTAGATGTATAACTACTTTCCACCTTTTCAAAACTATTTATTCAGCTTGCATTTAGTTATGAGCTCAGCTGTGGAGCCTGAGCTACTTGTTTTGAAGCTAGCTTGTATTTTCCTGCAGAAGTAAACAAATTATACATCACTTGAGATCTGGTGTTGAGATGTGAAGTGTGGAGTTCTGGGTGAATGCTTACCCACTCTCCCGTAGTCTCGCTCTGCGCTGTCCAGTCCATTGTACATTTCTAATGAATTTATTTGTATTTTTGTGTCACCTATCTTATTTAAATGCTAAGGATTTCACATTAGAAGTAACACAATATGAGGCCCCAGAGGAGATAGCTCAGATATGTGGGCTGTGGTGTCATGAGTATGCTGATTGTGTTTCCTGATTTGTATTTCCTGTTGATATCCTTGTTTCACACTGAAGTTTCAGAAGACTTTGCTGCATTTTATCATCTGCTCTTTGAAAGAAGATTTTGAATCCTTGTATGGTTCTCCAAGCACTTGTGACAGTAGTCAGAAATAGCAGCAAATGCAAAATATAGTGGTCTGATCATGAGTGTATAAATCACAGTGCTCCATTTGTATTATGGACTTTCTACTCGTTACCAAATGCAATGTCTTAATACTGGTCTCTAAGACTTTGTACAATTTGAGTTTTAACTCTGTTGCAACATGCTTTCTATCTGATTGGATGCTTTTACTGTGAGAGATCCCCGGATCTGAACGCTGGGAGTTTGAAGGGCAGACACTGTCAGTGAAAGGTCCTTATTTCCTGAATTTCATTCCCTCATAGATGCAGAACACCTTGAACTTGTTAATTAGCAGGACAAGGTTAAAAGGCCATGATATTAATCAGACTTTTGGCAGAGATTAATTAGCAGGAAGGGAAGGGAGTTCAATATCTTTAAGGTTGTTCCTGTTTTTCTTTGAAGACTGTAACTTTTTTAATTGTCAGATACACCTATTGGCAACATATATTACATAGTTCATTAATAATTGCGAATCAGCTAGTGGTCTTAAGCAGACTGTGAATGTCTTTTAGTAATCTAAATTTTAAACTAGATACAAGCTTAAAACCACAATGAATTGCTTTAGCTCATATTAATATTTAATAATAGTAGGAACAATCTGAAACCCAACTGAATGTTTTGCTTAGGGTCTGTGAGGAAGGACTGATTCATTTCCTCTATGTTTGCGTCACCGATGGGTTTCTTAGTCTAGTCTGGCAGAATGGACAATTTTATTTATTAATTTTGTGCATTTAAAAAATTATTTCAAAGATGCTCAAAGCGTCAGATAAAAACTCCATTACTCACTCTGTAAAAATAAGAATAGATAAAAACATGTTAGTTTTTATCTCATCTGCTTGACAGTGTCCCCTTAATACGTTGACAAAAATCCTGTGAAAACGGTGATCTTTTGGTTTCGCTGGTCATGCAAACTTAAGGCAACTATAAATTATCAATACTTTTACTGTGATATGTGTTGTTTAAAACCAAGGTACTTGCAGACTGCCTTCCAGCTCTGAAATATATAAAACTCGGATAAGTGATAGATATTTAAGGTGATGCTGAGTGTCTGGCACACTTCTTGACTGGGAGATTGGAACACACAGTATTTTGCAGAATGAGGCCCTAAACTTTTCAACAGAGTACTAAAAGGACTAAAATATTTATGTGGTAGACCTATAGAAATATATTTTGGTGTTAATTCTCTATGCCTACATATTCCCCAGGATCTGTGATTTTATCTTCAGCATTTCGTATTGAACAAATTTTTCATAATATAAGTTAAAAGAGCAGGCATTTTTTCTTCACATTGTTCTTCACATTTGCTAAAATCTGTTACTTAGCGTGCTTTAGTACAGTACAAAACAAAATACAGCAGTGAAATCTAAAATAATACATCAACACATACCGTATGTACAGCTTCATGATAGCTAGCTATTACTTAAACTTGTAATGATTTTCCATGTCATTTTACATCAGATTTTTGTAAGAAAAAAGGAAAGATGGCTAGTAAGTGAATTGATCTTGGGTCATTGCAGTGGTGAAAACAACTTATTTGCATGATGTTTATTTGCTGTGACTTGTCCATTCCTCCCTTTTCCAAAACCATCTTTATTTTCTCTTAGTTTTTTTGTTTATTTGTATGCTTTTGCTTTACATATTACTTTGAACAATATTTGTCTATACTGATGGAAAAGGTTTCATAAAATAAATAAATGTGTAAAGTATTTTAGCTGTATTGAATCAAAATGTGAATTTGTTATTGCAGTGCCTTATATTGTAGCATGTCTAGTAAAGTCACTTTTTCTATAGCTGATATTAACCTTTATTTGGAGGACCTTTTTTGGTTCCCATTGTTGTAGAGGAAGATGGATAGCACTCCTCAGGATTGTGCTGATTATCTGTTTGCTGTTTGCCAATAGTCTCTTATTTTATGTATATATAAAAATATCACTATTTTAAAATCAAGAAAGATACTTCTTTTAAATAAGAGAAATAAGGAATATGAATGATCAGGAAGAATATTATGAGAGTAGCTCCCCTTCTTTAGCTGGCAGCTGCTAATCCCTTTAGGATTATAAATTTCAGTATCATTGAGGTGGTTCAGCATGATGTTTAGTAGAAACTTTGGGAATGGCTTGTTCTTGTGAAGCGGGATGGGTAAGGAAGGAGTGGTAGGGAATTGTGCAGGAGCTCTCAGAAATGGGTGCGTTTGTTCAGGAGGCCAAATCCATGAACATTGGCTTTTGCCCCGAGACTGGGATTGAGGATTAATCCCAGAGAACCAAAGCATGTGGCACAAAGGGCTGTAGTGATAATCATACTCTGATTTATTTTCCCCTTAGAGCCCCTTCCTTAAATGAGGGAATGATTATAGTAATTTGTGTTTTAAAAGAGAGTAGCATTAGAAACATAATGAGGCTTTCCTGACTCTCCTCAGTGCTTACTCTCCTAGAATATGCTGTGGAGCTGTCGTCTTCTGTAGCAGCTCTCTCGTAGTCTCCAAGAGCAAATTTCCACATGAAATTAGCTTTTTTCCGAATAGTAATTCTAACAGTTTAAAATCTTGAGAAAAATATTGTCCAATTCTAAAAAATTTTGTAGCTGATTTTGATTTTCTGTGCTAACAACAGATGTAACAAACTACTCAGCTAAAACATTATCTTATAGTAAACAGTGTAATAATAAGTGTAACTAGACATAAGATTAGATTAGCACACTTGTCATTTTAAACTTTTTGCTAAATTTATTTTTTAGAGCTTCAGTAGTGGCTGACAAGTTAGGTTTTTTTAAAATTAATTACCAGGAAAGCAGAATGTACATGTACAAAATGTACATTTCAGCCTTTGTCATGTAATGCACATTCCTTAGTCATGGCTGGCTGAGAAATTAATGTATCTGAATGAGAAAAAGGGCAAGTTCAGTAATTTTTGCAATTCTGAATTTCTGTAATAACTAGGCAAAATCCACATATTGCAGAAAACCTACATATCTTGTCTCTGTAGAGTTGCCTTCAACAGAGTAATACATCTTGATTTGTTCCCAGTGACAGATTGATTCTGGAACCTACCTCAGGGTTTCTTCTGAAATATCTTTTTGCTCAAACATGCAGTTTTGATGCCAATAGACAGCTAATTGCATGATAGCACTTTATAGCCATTTGCAGCAGTGTGCCAGTAACGTACACATAGGGAATATATTTAAAGCCATAAAATGTCAGACTAAGCAATTCATGAAAATGAATTTTCAGGCATTGGACTGGCTGCATTAGAAACACTAAGAAATTGTTTAAGTTGCTATGGTTCCTAGCACTCACTTCAGTGGTCAGAATCAGGCCCTGACTGCAAATGTAGTGTGAGTTCCTATATTAAACCTAGTTTATGAATAGAAGTTTAAGTCAGTTCTCTAATATTTATGCACAGTTGCACATTAATAATTGTGCATGATTAACTAGTGATGAGCTTTGACCCTTTGAATATTTTTACCAGTCACTTAGATAGGACTATCACAAAGCCATTAATGTTAAGGAGGTTTCAATTGGCTTAGTCTTGTAGAAATATTAAAAAGGGCTTTTGTCATGCTTGTTAGGGTATATATGTTAGAATTTTTCAGCCTAGAAGTCCAAAACCAGTTTTGGATGATGGCTTGCCTGTCAACATTGTGCTTATACGATGGTGTATTATGCATGTGTGCTGCGTGCGTGTGTGTGCGTGTGTGTGTCTGTGTGTGTGTCTGTACATGTATATATATAAAGTATATATATACACACATGCACATATATGTTGCTTTTCCTTCAGTAGGCAATATTGTTTGTTTTGTTTTGTTTTCTCATTAGACCACAGGTTTTGTTTAACTAATTTCTGTTTATGCAAAACTAAACAGAAGTATGCAAATATTTGACATTTCATGTGTAATCACAAACGTTTGCACCCTGCCTGCTCTGTTCAGGGCTATTTTAGTGATGCCTGGAATACGTTTGACTCCCTCATCGTTATTGGCAGCATAGTAGACGTCGTTCTCAGTGAAGCTGATGTGAGTATACCCCAGCTTACTTTCCCCAGTCCCTACTTCTCTTTTCTCTGTCTCCCCACTATTTCCATCATCTGGACAAGTCACAGATTTTGATCTGATGTTTCTAAAGTTTGAGTACAGACCAGTCATAGGTCAATTATGTTGATATGGGAAATAAATAGCCTTTTTTTTCTACCAATTTTTTTTAGCTATGAAAGGGAAAGATTAGATTGTATAGTGGTACATCAGAGAAGCCTAGAGTGTTTCTGTGTTATAACACTGTCCTTTTCTTCTCTTTTTCTGTTTGTGTTTTTCTCTTGCTCTCTTTCTGCTGAATGCTTGTCCTAACAGCACTATTTCACTGATGCATGGAACACTTTTGATGCCTTAATTGTTGTTGGTAGCGTCGTTGATATTGCTATAACAGAAGTTAATGTAAGTAGCAACTGTTCATGCACTAAAAAGTAATTGCTGTCATCAAGAAATACAGAAAATGTAAACTTTATCCCCCAAAATCCTTTATTAGAAAAGTATGTTTTATCCTGGAATCAAAGACCAAAACATTGATGTAGATGTTTGTACAAGCTGTTATTATAAATCTATATACCCATATAGTTACACATGCACACAGCATAGTGAGACAATGAGAATTATATTTTTCTATATATGTACAGAAAATATTTAAGACATTTTATGTATAAAAAAGGAATTAAGCCTCTGTTACTATTCTACTTGAAGCCCAGTGATTTTTGTAGATAGCTTGACCAAGATAATTCAAGATTCTGTAAGTTGTTTCAGTAGCTCAGTTTAACAAATAATTATTTTTATTTCTGTGGGAGGTTTGGTTTTTAGAGTGATGTTAGCATTCATATCTCATGAGGTAGCAGAAGAAGGGTACATAGAGAAAGTAAGGCTTTCCATGCTGTGGAAAATAGAACATTTATTTTTTCCTATTCCTTTTGCTTTTCCCATCCTGCAGTAAATGTTTTGAAATTTGAATTACTCTTAAAGTACTTGGAAAACTCCATCTTTTCACTGAAATTTTGACTGATGGCCATTACACATATAGGTGTTTGGACAACAGAAAGATTCCTTTCCAAGAAAAAAATAGGGAAATACTGATTTTTGCCTGTTTTCTATCTGACTTGCTGGTTTTGGCAAGGAAAGCTGTATCACAAAAATGATAAATGAAGGATAACAAAATACATACCAGTTCTGTAGCATCTTGTAGATGTGCAAGTGCTTCCCATACTTACATATTTCTTTGTTTAACTAGTCAAAATAAAATTTCAGAGGAAAGTGCCTTTTCCCTCTAGTGCTTCTTGAGACCTCAAAAAGGGAGACTAAAGAAGGTGAGACACGGATCCAACCCAGCCACTGAAACTGCTCAGGGAGTACACAGGCTCAGTAGGGGAGGTTAGCGTATTCCACCCGCTGAAGATCTTACCTGTTTATCATCCTGAGAACTAAGTTACTCAGAAATACCCATGATGCAGGAGATCCTCAGCATTCACGTATTTTCGCTGTATCAAAGAACAGATTAATCGGCGAAAGCTGTAGATATAAATAGTTGCTTGTTATTCTTTAGCATGCATGTTTTTCTACAGTAGTCACAGTTTATGAGCTGGCTAATAACGTTCCTTTTATTTTAAATTTGTTTTAGTAAGCTACTTGCTAGACATCTTTTTTTACCCCAGTGGATTTTATTACTTACCCAAATGGTTTCTTTTCAGTAGGGATATTTAATATGCATCATCTTTCAAAATACTTCTAAATTTGAATAAATACTCTTCAGTGCTGAGTATTTAAATTGCAATATCTCTATCATATTTTGGGGAAGCAAACCCATCCTGTGGCAATCATTGCCATTTAATTGAAACAGTTTTTCAGAGAAAACACATTTTAAAACTTATTTTCCAAAGTGGTTCATGTCAGGAACCCAATTCTTAGGATCATATTCCTCCAATCAATAGCAGAAATTATGACCTTTACTCTGTTTAGACAGTACCTTGATTTTGGAACTGTGAATACCACAATAATTAAAGTTGCCCATGGAATAGAAATTGTATTTGAAAAAAAACTGTGATCTATTCTAGGCGTTCCAGGATGAGGCAAAAAAAAAGGAAAATGCGTAATTCTCAAGTAAGATCTGTCTAGCAGATGGTTTTTGGCTTTCAGTGCATTGTTCAGATCAGCAGACCATCTACTAGGAGCTTGGATTTGTCAGGCTGGTCTTCAGCCATGGTTTGATAAGGATTTCTCCGTTAGCTTAAGCAGCCTTTGCCCACAGCCCTTCTTACCCCCATAGCTATGTGAGCTGTGCTTCCACAAGAGTTTGAGGACTTCACAGTTGGCTGGATGAGGTGCTGAGCCCCAAGTATTGGCAAAAGTGTGGGCCATGGTAGGGCAGAAATGAGTGAATAAGGCTGCTGCCAAAGGAAATACTTCTTACACTGTGCCCATACAGGTCTCCCTTCAGAGCATATTAGCATTGGCACAGAAAACATCAATTTAGTGGCAGTAGCTGCTGTTGAGAAACAGTGATGTACGTGGGTTTTAATTTTCTTTGATTCTAGTCCATTTGGTAAGCATAGTAATACCTATTATAAATGCATTTCAACTAAATATAGAAAACAAATGTATTCTTTTATCTTTTTTTTTAAGATGGCAGAATATCTTCAAGCATACAGAGTCTATTAGCCCTCATTAAAGACTACAAATTTCTTTACAAAGCTGCAAATTCTACACTGCCATCTCAAAGAGTAAACACAATCAAAATAATTTTAAGGCTGATTCACCTTAAAATTCCTTCCTGATTTTATGTTAAACTGAGAATCTCACGACTCGCTGCATTACTGGAAAGAACAATGGAGGAGTGATGTGATAATGTGGGAGCAGAAGGACCTTAGCCTGACCCTTAGATTTCAGACTGATTTTGCTCAGTTCTCAGCAGGCGATGGATCTTTCTGTCTGTGAACTGAAGGAACCTGAGCTGACAGGGAGGGTCAGTCAGCACAGAAGAGCATTGTCCGATTGAGACATTTCTCAAAGTATAATTACTGTTCATGGAGCAGATTTTGAAAAGCTGCCTCTAATTTTATGTTTGTTTGGTTTTGTTTGGGTTTTTTTCCAGAAAAGTTTGGATTTAGACTTTTAGTTCAAGTATTTACAATTTACCCGCTATTTCCATTCACAGTAGTACTGGTGTAGATGAGCATAGTATCTGAGAAGCGTAAAAACACCAATCATTTAGAATAGCTTTCTCTAATAACTGCAAAATGTACTTGATTGTGAAGAGGTTGAAAAATAGCTCAAATGTACTTCCATGACCATAGAAGATGTCCCTGTATTTAACCCCGTATTTAACACTGTATGGACAGTGTTAATTTGACAGCATTACTTGTAACTGATCACTGCTGAGCTTTCAGCTGTGAAGAACACTGTCATTTTAGTAATTCACACAGTTGTCTTGAAAATATTCTGGAGATCAAGTAGAGATCTTCAGGAAAAGTACGCACCACAGTCAACAACTAGCACTGTCATTTCTTAGTTTTTCATGCTATACTCACTAGCGAAAAAGGCTCATCTTTGATGTCTTCTAGTACTGCACAGCAGACTGTTTGTGTACTAAGTATTGTCTGTTTCTGGTCTTTTCCACTTGTTTGTGCTTTGTTTGTGCAAGTCATTAATGTATTACAGTTTCAATATATTTCTGGGCTTGATTTCCCATTTTCAACATGAAACAGTAAATACTGCAGAGTGTCCAGGGAAATTTCTTAGTTTTTTATTACTTTTATTGTTTTGATTCTACTGAATTATTCCTAGTTCATTAGTTTTGTGTAAATTTCTATAATCCAAATTCAGTATTTTAGAATCTTTTTCTTAATATTTTTTTGGCATTCTGAATTGTGCCATTCCAACCTGTACTTTTTATCTAACACTGACAGTGATCCTGGGAAATCTACAGCTCTGCTAAGTTGCTAACAAGACTGTTTTCAATGGGATTTCAAGCACGATTGAAATGGCACCTGTGAAAATTCCCACTATAGAAACTTCTTAAACTGAGGAAGCTCAGCCTTGTTTGAGGGGTGATCTGAAACAGCGTAAATTGCTAGCATTGATGTAAAATCAGGTCTTGTTGCAGTTGTAACTGCACGAGTACAGCCATCTTAATTGATCAACGTAAAAGACAACTTGAAAGAATGTGAATACCTAAAATAATGTACTGAAGATGAACTAAACATTCTTATAGATTTGCATATATAATTGCCTCATGCTGGAAACAACTCAGCATCATTCTGATAATCTAGCTGTGTACATTTAGAATAATTCCAAAGGCCAGAAAGTTCTTCTAGTATATAACATGTTTGTATCTGACCCCTTTTTTTCAAGAGAGTGGGTTGGACTTTCTAGTTACATATCACCTTGATTTCAGTATTAAATTCTGGAAATTAAATGTCATCTCTTTATTTTGTTGTTCCTTTTCTTATTTTTTTAACGTTTTGTAATAATGTATATGGTGCCCTGAGGCTGATTCTTCTGATCCAGTAACCTCCCATTCACATTACTGTGTTTTGAATATTTTTGGTGCCCGTGGAAATCAGTGTTTAATGTGTTCCGCAATTTATAGGGCTGCTCAGCATCCTCAAGGACTGGGTCAGTGACCAACTCCGGAAATGAACCACCTCAGAGCAACATATATTTTGACAATACACTATTTTCTGTGATTTTTTTTTTTAAATTTACTCTGTCATTTCATATCCCTTCCTTTAACCAGTTCTTCCTTTATGAACCTAATTGGTTTTCATGTTCGTTTTATTTTTAGAAATTTTTAGAGGCAAGTATATACAAATAAATATATATATGGTATAGCAATAAAAAAATTTAAAAACACTACTAAAACCTATATAATTACTTTTGGGTTTTGTAACCTTTTGTTTTCAAAAAGTTTCACATGACACGCAAGATCTTGTGTGGTCATAAAAATGGTTCTTTTTGAATTAAAAAAGCAGAGTAGTGAT